ACGATTTAATGCTGCATGCAGTGTGCAAGAAAAGGACATTTTGGTTTAAAATTATGCTGGTGTATAGAGGGTGCTGGTTTCTAAAGTGCTGGATTAGAGAGGGACGACTGTAGTTCAAATGAAGTACTGAAGTAGAACAGCATGCACTGTTTACAACCTAGTGTGGATTTTTCAAATGGATAACATCTAAAACACCGAGTGTGGTGTGTGGATTTTTGAATTCCGCAGAAAAAAGCGACACGCTATCTCGTACACCTGCAGCGTGCTGTATTGAAATCACTACAGCTAGAAAGCGATAGCAATAACACGAGCACTAACGACAGCACTGTCACAACCAATGCTCCTATCAAGAAAACAACGGCAACAAGCACTGGCGGCCATTACCTGGAATATGATCTTTATACAGCATCCAAACGAGCGGCATAGGACAGATGCAGCACCTTGGCGAGACGAGGCCGTTAAGATAGCTTCCATCGAGGGACCAGGGGCACTGGCGGCAGCAGGTTCTGGGTTGCCGTCACCGCCGTCTCCAGCAGCGGCGGTAGACGAGCTTCCAAACCAAGATGAATGGCGACGACGCTGCCGGCGTACTCGACCTACGGTGAAGCGAACAGCAACAACAGCAACAACAATGGACAACATGTAACGTAACGGGCAATGATTATGTCGTATTTATTAGCGTCCACACCCTGGCAGCACTAGTTACTAGAAGTAGTTAGTACCCAGAATCCGCCCCGCAACCAATCCCCCACCCCGTGTAGAATACCGCGCCACTCCAGCGACAGATTATCTAGATGGACGAAGTGCCTGGCTTCAAAAACAGCCGATGCAAATCTAGCCCAGGCGATAGTTCATCGGTTGAGCCGGTGCTGGCTGCTTGCCCGCAGGCAGAGTTTATACCAGGACGCGTACTCTACCCCTGTCCAACATACACCCATTCCAGTTACATGCAGCTACGACAGAAACAAACATACGGATGCGCACATATGCACGTGCGCATGTGTGCATGCATATGCGCCCACATGTATGCACACACATGCACATACACACACACACACCACATCACATCACATGCACAACATATCAACACTCATGAAAATTACTCACTCGCTGACAGTGCAGGTGCGGCCGGCAACTCCAGGGAGGATTGATCAATCACCCAGTCCAACGAGGGACTGGAAAACGCTTGAGAGCTACGAGTAACTACGCCACCACCACCACCGGGTGCCGCTCCGCTGCCGGGTGCAGAGCTGGCTGCAGCTGCTGCAGCTGCTGCCACTGCAGATAGCCTGGTTCCGGCAGCAGCAACAGCAGCAGCAGAGATAGAACTGGCAGAGCTACCGGCTGCAGCAGAGCGACCGCTGGAAGCTGCCGCGGCTACAGCTGCTTGTTGACGCGCCCGTTCGACCGTCGAGCTACCGGGAGCACCTGCTGCCACCTGGCGTAATTCTACCAGCGGACAACGGAGTTTAGCAGAGGAATATAACATAGCAGGTGAGAAACAAGCAGTTGAGAGCCAGTTCCAGAAAGTTATCAGTACAGCAGAGAAGAATGTGGCCGAACATGGCGGCAATGAGAATTGAAATTCCCCAAAGCCAGAATATACCAGTAAGCGTAAAACTAGACGACGACTATTACTCAATTTCTCCGTCTGGACATTGTTATATTGATATTGCAGTTGTTGACAACTGTATGAGAGGTTTACAATTATGTGTTATTCATTTTCGCCCAACACGACAAATATAAGCCAGATATTGGAGAGTCAGAAAGTAGAAGAAAGCGGCTGCTCCACCTGCCGGAGCTCGCGCTTCAAGCCGGCTAACGCCTTCTACAATTACCGCCAAGTCACAACATCTCAGTTCAGAGAAAGCAGAGTTAGCACAATTCTGACAAGTGGTACTGACAGCATTCAACGACCTGGCAACAACAAATAACTTGTAAACTACTGGTCTATCACACAACTAGACACCACTACCCAAAACGATCTCTCGGTTATAATTCTTCCCAAAATATATATAAAAATAAAGGGCTCGGCCTCATTTCCTCTGTGCTGTGCTGATGAGTCCACAAAGGACGAAACAGTTCTGTCCGCAGATTGAGTAAAAATAAAGGGCTAAATATTTAATCATAGTCCTTGGCTCTTCAAACACGTCCATACAGATATTCCCTTTTTGAATAGACCAGCATGTTTTGGAGCCCAGTGCACATGGTGTCCTGCCCCATGGACATGGTGTCCTGCCCCATGGACATGCACATGTGGACACTATTCACATATCCGCTAGTTGTACACATGCAGCTGTACCGTTAAGTACCGCCAGAGCGCCCCGTCTCACGAGAGCACCCCACCTTGATTTTACAGCCAAGGCAAGGAAAGTCGTACGGCAGAGTGCTACTAAGTTTGAACGGTGTGAGGACCTTTGTGTACTAAGGTCACACTTGGCATGTTTTGGTGTGGAGCTCGCACCCGCTCGAAGGTGAACCGAGTACGGATTGACTGCACACCGTACAATGTGTGTGCAAGGTCCATGTCGTATGACCTACAGACAGGAAACCACGTCCACAAAACGAACACAACAGGACGAGATGGTGGGGCACTCTCGTGGTACTTTACGGCACATGCAGAACAGGTACACATAGAAAAGACAGTGTGCTTTGTATGGGAAGCACAGGCCAGCGGTACACTTCAGTACACATGTCCTGTCCCAAGAAACCCAAACATTTCTCAAGAGCATAGCCCACGGATACAACCTACGTCTCAGTACTAGATGGTCGAAGTTGCCGTCATCATCGCTCGAGTCGAAAAAACTGTCTTCAGATTCCGGCTCCAAATCGGATTCTGTGAAAGCATCCTCACTTGCCATGTGCTCATGGTGCGGCGACGATGCCCCCGGAAAGTCCTCAGCGGGACTGGATGCTTCAGCTTCAGAGCCAGACGGACTTCCAGCACCGTCGTCAGCTACCTGTGCTAAAGAGGATTCAGCAACATCAGCTCCAGCCGCAGGCGCAGATTGGCCAGCGCTAGCAGCAGCAGCAGCAGCGCTAGCAGAAGCTGCAGGCGCAGGCTCGTCAACCACCATTGCCTGCTCACCGTGACCAGCTGGGCACAGAGAAAGGTGAGCATGACACAGTGTGGATATTCATTTGCAGGCACACATTGACATGCCCATCCACACATTGACATGCCCATCCACACATTGACATGCCCATCCACACATTGACATGCCCATCCACACATGACATGCCCATCCACACATTGACATGCCCATCCACACATGCACAGGCACATCGCATACTGTGCAGTGCATTTGATGCAAGTACATGTAGCATGTACAGTGCTGCTCAATGAAATACGATCACGCAAGTCGAGTACGCACCCGGGCGCTGTGCAGCCCTAGACCTGCGAGCACAGGGATCGTTCACTGGTGCAGGGGCGCAAAGCGGACTGGCTCAATCAGATTTCATTGACCAGCCCTGTATAAGCTGGGTCTGCAGTGGGCATACGGCCCTGCCCCAAAGCGGGGCAATATACAGACAATAATTCCCGAAGCTATGCAAAAGCCGTTACTTAAACTCTTTAGTAATGTCTGGTTTGCCTTTTCATTCCCTCAAAATACACGCGATGAATATTAAAACAGAGGTTCCAGGCTGTCCAATAGAGTGCTCAATACCGAAACTGTTTTCTGATGATTGCTTAGTGCGTGAAACTCGAGTAGCACTTTTTCATACCCTTATTATTGCATGATGAATATTATTGATATCCTATTTTTCGAGTTAGGGCCATGCACCCACTCAAGAATCGGCTTTATAGATATTACCAACGCACTTGCCATGTAACCTAGAGTCAGGATCCAGCCTCGTCTCCAAAACACAACCACAACAGGGTTCACTTCAGGTGGCGACGATCGCTTGTGATACTCGGGGGCGATTTTGAATCAGGAATCAAACCATTTGTGGTCACATTTCACCCTGTTCTGCTGCTGTTTCGAGTTGTTAATCAAATGACAGGACTGGATTGTCTAGTCACCGATTGGCATTTTGTTGTACTATTCTTTGTCCTGCAAGATCAAGGGCTGTCATGTCACGTTCCGTCCCAGTTTTCTCTTCCCCCAGTATTTTTCGGCATGGATTTTTTAAAGAAAACGTTTTCTTTAGAATTTTGGTTTTGGAGATGTGTCGGAGCTAGGTGTCAGGTCGTCGAATGTCCCAGTACTATAGTGCATTCACCAATTCTGGGCTCATAGCGTTTTCAGTCTCACTTCATTCTTATTCAAGATGGTGAAGTCGATGACATAATTATATAGGCCAGAAATTTGATAGGTGTTGTTTTAAGCCTAAGATGAAGTGAATGCGGTGAAAAATTGAAAATTGATCTGCAAAAAGTATTTTTCAGACACATAATCGTGACAGATTGCATTGACACAATACAAGTGATAACTATTAGTATCGTGCAACACATGTTCCGCTGCTGTTCCCCGGCTAGAGATCGCCCGCACGCGCACTATACCGGGTGCTCGATCCTGGGCCATCATGGAGAGTTCGTCAAGATGGTACACACAACGGTTACATGTAGTTTTAGTGTATCAGGGGCCCGGAATTCGCAACTGCACTATCGTTGTAGTTCTTCCATGTATCTATTATGTCCCTTTCCTTTCTATAAAGAATCCGCTCCAGTCGCCGTATAAGCTACTTTGTGTAGGAGCGTGGACCTGTCGACTTACCATCATCGTCGTCTCCATCACTCTCCTCACTGTCCGACATGCGCGCACCAGCACGAGGAAGCTCAGGGAATGAGCCACCACCGGAACTAGATGGAGCCTGGCATTCAAAAGCAACAACAGCAGCAACACTGGCATCAGCATAATATATTGTGGAAGACAGCAAAATACGCTGTCTTGCCAGCCAATCGCAAGGATATAAGTTATAAAAGCTGCAGCGCATGCACCAGGGAGTCACGTCCGAATGTATGCGCACCGGCCAACAGAAGAAGAAGCAAAATCACCAAATGCAGGCGGGACACATCTGTGAGGATGCTGCTTGGCGTTGACTAATGTGTGCTAAGCAACATACCTGCTGCCCAAACTCATGGTTACTTTCAAAGTCACGTAACCCATGCAGCACATACAGCCACTATCAAAGTCGCATCATCGTCACATGACTGTTGTGGACTAGTAAAATATGTACTCCCTGATTGACAACTGTCCAGTGACATGCTAGCTTAAGGGCATGCATAGTGTAACTCACCTGTGCAACACCATCACGGCGCTGCAGTAGAGGCGGCATGGACAGCAGAGTATGAACAGTGGACTGGTCGACGTTTCGCGCCGAGGCAGCAGCACCGGCCGCCAGCGAAGGATAATTGGGATCAGCAACAGCAGCAGCACTAGTACTGGTCATGTTCAGCGGGGCCGCATCAGTGACGTGGCCGAGCATAACAGGACGGATCAGAGTCATGGCCGTGTCCAGCATCTCCTCCACGGCCATAATGCCAAACTCCCTCAGTGCACGAAGTTTGCTCGAGTCAATACTGCAACATGCATACATACGAGTACGTGCACATGCACGCATGTGCACACACACACACACACACACACACACACACACACACACACACACACACACACACACACACACACACACACACACACACACACACGCACACACACACACACACACACATGCACACATGCACACATGCACACACACACACACATGCACACACACACACACACACACACACACACACACACACACACACACACACACACACACACACACACACACACACACACACACACACACACACACACACACACACACACACACACACGCAAACAAACACACACACGCAAACAAACACACACACGCAAACACACACACACACACACACACGCACGCACGCACGCACGCACACACACGCACGCACACACATACAGAAACAGACTGGTATGAATATCACAAGTTGGAAGAAAGGGAGGACATGTCTGGTGGGGGCACACATAGATAGTCAGCAAGCAAGAGAGCCAGATCACCAGATCGCACATACTGTACTAGAAAAAGAAGAAGGAGATGACCATGCATTGGGGACAAATTAATAAATATAAAAAATGAAATAAAAAGTCGAGTAGGCATTAGAGGAGACCAGGAGACCAGGGACATGTGGTACACAATGTGAGAAGAATTAGAACCAACCATTTTGTAGATTTCAGCCTCCGCAATGAGCACTCGGTCTGCTCGCTGACGAGGACGCGGGTGAAGCTTCGGACCAGACGACGAGCGGCTTTCTCGGCCAATTCCTTTGTCTGTTCGCACTGGCGTGCCTGTAAGATGGTCTTCACTAGCAGATTCAGGTTGTGTGTGTTCTGTGCAATGGCAAACATAGAATACACCAACAGGAACAAACGGCTGCATCACCGCCACCGTGATTTTCCAGCAAGCAGGAGCACACAGACTCGTGTGCTCCTGCTTGCATGTTGTTCACACATGAATGTTGTTCACACATGCATGCACACACAGATTCAATGCACACATGTGCAATGCTGCCCCACAGTCATCCCCGCGCTGTTTTGCTGTCGATCTGCCGACTTTGCACTTTGTTTCAATAGGGTTTCGAAGTGATGACGTCACACATACTTGACAACGCATGCCAACGAGATTTTTGGGTACAAACAGAGCTCTTCACTGTTTTTCAGTACTAATTATGCAGGTTTCCGATGGTGGGAATCAATTCAATGGTTTGCTTGAAAAAACAGCTTTTCTACATATAGGTGCTCCTTGCTGATAGTTAGAGGTTTGCTAAGCTGATGGAGCAATGACTGGTCTTCCCAGGATTTCGAAGATGAAACAAAGGGGCTGTGACGAGCTGGCAAAAATATTTATACGAGTTCTGATCAGAGATCAATTCTCGCTGGCCTCAGCATTTTTCCGCCTCTTAAAGAGAGCTAATTCAGATGTCCGAAGTCACGAGAAAGGATACAGCGCAAAGAATCACCTCTCACAGTCAGGGAAAGAAGACTAAGTCATAGCATAGCTTCAACACTTGACATGGTAAACTACTATGTTGCACAACTACATGTACTGCAGAACTGAGAAAGTGAGTTTACCTCAAAGGTAGAACCGAGTGTGAGAGCGTGCACAAAACAGTCCAGGTGCTGAGAACCATCTTGACTTGCAACCAGTGCTTCGGTTTCAGAGTCACTAAGCATTCGCACCACGTCTGATTGCGCAACCTCGCCAAGCAGTAATCTACACACCAGGACATCGGCAGCAGGACAGACAACAGTCAAGACAGCGATAGGAACAAGAACACGCATGGCAACCAGTTAGGCCAGTGGCCATGGCAGTAGACGCAGAACAAGAAACGCACAGTGCAAAGCGGACACAAGGAAGATAAGAATTAGGAGTATTGGTATTTGACAGTCAACAGGACTTAAGCGCACTGTAGTGAGCCAGTTGTTGGCTGGTTCCGTCCACTTCACCAGAATAGAACTGGGGTAAAGACGGGAGTACTGGTACGTTGCAGCAGTGGGTGCAACATGGCTGTTTCTAGAATACATGTATTGCTTACCTGGCTTGAGTGGTCCCCGACAGGAGGATTGCACTCGCTGCTGTCCAGTTGTCTAGGCAAATGCACATTGCCACCTCACAAAAGTTGGATGCGTCTATGAACTTGTTGACCTCCGCCAAGTTTAGCTTCCGGTCGATAAGACTAGAAGCGAAGGCGGAATTGCGCGTGGACGTGCCAGACCGATTCTTCTGTTCCGTGACCTGTTGCGATACCAAGCGTGCAAGCAGCAGCAGTAGTGGCTGACCTCTGCATGCAAGAAAACAATGTGACACGAGCAAAACAACAGTGGCAGCAGCAGTTTGCAGACAATTAGAAAAGCAGCAGGTTACAGTGGAAATCACTCAGTGCGACCTTGGACAAGACATCTTACCAGTGTCGCCACATCATTCTAGCCAAATATCAGTAGCATGACAAAATAAAATGCATCAGACCACACGTCGGCAGGCGTGGCAACACAGTCTTACCCTTGCCAAAGCGCACAGATTTCGCGGCATTGGTACTTCGTCCAGAAGAGTACACACACGACTGTACGTTTACAATGGACTTGGATAAAAAGGGAATTCCTGAACAAGACAGTGTTTTAGCGGTCCCGCAAACTGGTGCAAAGGCATACTTTTCGTTGTTTCTGAACTAGATAATTAAATTTAATTATATTATTCTGTCAAAAGCGCGCTGGCTGGATGGCATGCTGCCAGGATGATCCGAGGTAGGAGTCGAGCTGTGACCAACTCCACCAACACCTCACGGGCATGCATTGTGATTGGGGGTGAAAGTTGGCACTGAGATAACGAGTTCGAGTACTCTGATTTTCTCCGATCGAATATTCGAGTATTCGAGTATCCTTGATATCATCGCACACCAAAGGCCTTAAAATCACATGATACAACCCTGATTGAACCGATTGGCAGTCCTTTCACAGGTGTATTGGTTGGTGGGTCATTTGGGCTCTCTCTGCTCGTGTACAAATGTTCACCACACAGTCTGCACATCAATATCTGCTGACTGCTGCTCTGAAACTGCAAAATTCTGTGGTAAATGCATGTACCAGGTATGACCGAGTACTCTAATTTATTCCGTACGATTATATTTGAAAAATCCAAACGAGTATTCGAATATTCGGTATACTTCGAAGTAATTGTTTCACCCCTAATTGTGATACATGTGCAGCGTAATCAGAACAGCTGAAAGAGTACATGTACAATCATGATCATGTACGTCTACTGTAATGAAAACAAAAAAGCATAGACCAGCAACTGCAGCAAGCTACACATGTGCACTGGTCACTGCGATGCTATTCATCACACCACACAAGCACACAAGCACAAAACCTGACAAGACATGGTCCCATACACACAGCAGAACAACACCAGTCACATCAGTAGCAGCACAACCCAACTAAGTGCACGGTGCTCACCGCGGCCCTAACCATGCCCCTAGATCAGCCGTCCTCAAACAAATCCCGAAGGGCGGCTACAATCAGGCAAACATGCAAACATGTGCAGGCAGGCACTAGGCACGGCCAAACCATTTCCCCATACAGCTGTGTACATGGTGTACAACGTGCAGGGCAGGACATGACTGCGCTGTGCACACACGCGCACGCACACACACACGCGCGCACACACCACACACACGCACACACACGCACGCTACATCCAACTTACTGGGCATCGGAGCGCTTGCCTAGCTGCGTGTAGCGCAGCAACTTGTGGAAAAGGTCAATGCGTGCCTGTTGGTCACCAGCCACCAAAGCACGGCACTGGCCAGCGTTGGCCTCAAGAGAGCAGTCACAGTAGGCAGAAGACATATGCTTGAATCTGCCGACAACAACACACCAATGCAAGTAGAAGAAGAAGAAAGAACATGAGAAACACTAGCACTGCGGAGAATCCCCCTCCAAGCAACGCCCCATTAAAACATGCCACACTGCACATGAATTCTAGTGCAGACACTCCAGGAGCCAGAAACGCCTCTTGAATACGGGGAAGCACCCTGATTGCAAAAAGAGCATTCACAGGCACTGTGAACTGGTGGGTTGTACAGTCAAATGTCTGTGTGTTCAGTGACCAGCGATAAAAAGACTGCACGTACAGTAGGTATCGGTTATGGCGTGGGTGTTTGAAAAACGACTTTCTATTCTTATTTCCGATATTTCTTACACACGATAAATCAAGTGTGACATATCATGTGCATGTACGCAGAGGCAGGAAGATCATCGTACATGCAATGTAGTGTTACTGTGCATGCGGCTGGTCATAGTCACATAGGCTTACCAAGAATAAATGTGCACTTGAAATCCAGTATGATTATGAAAACATGAGAGTTCATTCTTGTAGGCAGTATATTCTTTTACACGACCACGCTATAACCGATACGCACTGTACCTACATGTGTGTTGAGAAACCGGTCATCCTGGGCTCGCAGACCACGCAATAAATAGACAAGAGAGGCCTGTGCAAAAGGCCACACCTATCCACCAACATCGGCGTTCTGCGCACCACGGGCTGGCCGTTAAAGATAGGCTTCACCATACATGCACACTACAGAACATGTTCCACCACCACCTTATTCAGTCGAACTGTCCCCAATCAAGTTACGAGCCACATTCTGTAAACAGGGAGACCCTTACTAGAACCATTACTGTTGAGATATGTGTAGCTTCTACAGTGCGTTTCAAAAATATAGACGAGAAAAACCGTTAGGCCAGCATCTATACCACATAAAATCTGTGATCACTTTGTGTAAAAAAATTCGAAATTGTGTGTCTGTTATCTGATCACTTAAACATCTATATGAGAGTAATTGGAGGAAGGACCCGAGCAATATTCCGAAAAGGATTCTCGAAAAGCTCCAGCCAAATTTGAAATATTTCAAAAATACCATGCGTCTATATTTTTGAAATGGACTGTAGGATGCCTGTCATGGAGGGGATTCATTTGTGCGTAGTCAATCAGTTGAGGCTACAAATAACAGCTGTAGCAGAGGCAGAGTACTAGAGTACTTACGCATGCACATGATTGCCGTGGCAGACATTGGCGCATGTCGTACAGCAGCAGGTCTGATCAGTCAGACCACAAGTGTAGCAGTTGTAGATTTTCTACACACGCACACACGAAGAAAACAGGCACAGGGTATTCGTGAATACACAATGTCCGTGGCTCGTCAAATCATCAGATTCAGAACTCGGGCATAAAAAGGTGACACAGGGAGGGGGAACGAGAAAAACGGGATTGATTTCCATCTTGCCTATGACAATCTCTCTCTCCCTCTCCCTCTCTCTCCCCCTCTCTCTCTCTCTCCCTCACTCCCTCCCTCTCTCTCCCTCTCTCTCTCTCTCCCCCCCCCCCCCCTCTCTCTCTCTCCCCCTCTCTCTCAACCTTTTGTGCTCAATCTTACACTTCTATTTATTGCCGAATTTGGGTTGTCCTTCACTTTGGTTCTTATTTCAGGGATCACGCAAATAGCTTTGTGAATAAACCCGTTCTCAAAGACACTAGTACAGCACAGTACAGTAGTAATTTAGTGCAAATATGTCCATCCCAGGAAGCATACCTGCGAGATGTGGTTTGCCTTCGACCAGACATAGGAACATTGGCCATTGTGAGCCAGAATAAACAGAGGGTTGTCCTTCGCGGGTGAATCTGACGGACACAGCATCCTGTTGAGCAGCTCCTGATTGTGCCGCTCGTACGCACATTCCATGCCGGGCCCTGCCTCCTGGGTTTCCCCCGCCTTCTTTTCACCAACACCGGCGAGTGTCTCTCTGATACTGATACTATGTACTGGATGAACAACGTTAGGCGCTACCTCATTGGCAGCTACGTCCATCGCAGATAGGCTGGACGATCGCTCAACTTCACGATTTTCTCCATACTGCTGCTGCTGTGGGCCACCTAGTGCTAGCTGACTTGAGCCAATGGCGCCAGCAGCAGATTCCTCTTCCACAGCTGGTGGTGGTGCTGCTGCTGCTGCATCTAATGGTGGACCCGCCGGCTGCTCAACGTCAGCTGCTCCAGCAGCATTGCTAAGTCTCTCGCTGATTGCCAAAAGATCCTTATTGGCAGCATCGGTATCGATTCTAAACAGATCGGCCGCAGCAGGAGCAGCGGACTCGCCTCCACTGGCAGCAGAAACTGCCCCGGCATTGGTGGCTGCAACTGCAGCCGCAACTGCACCAGCGACAAAGTTGGGTGAGAGCCGCATGTTACCGTCACCACCGCTAACATCCGACGACGCTGATGATGGTAAAAGGTCAGAATCTCCAGACTCAGGTAACACTGGCGATAATGCTCCGGAGCCTGGTGGGCTCTCGGCACTGGCGGCACCCATCGACGCCATATCTTCCTCTGCGTCACCATCATCCTCATCGTCATCATCCACAATGACATGACCTTCCTCATCACCATCCTCGTCCTCGTCTTCATCCTCGTTATCATCCTCACCATCCTCAGGCATGTCCTCCTCCTGAAAGTGCACGGCTCCAAGCTTACCGCGGCCCAGCCCGGTAAGCCGACGACTTTGTGCACCGAGATTGCTGCTGAGTTGCGAGGTTAACCCTTCCTGGCCTGCTTCCGAATGCTTCCTGGTGTCTGCGTCGTGGTCACTAGATTTCTCACTGGCCTGTGTTGCAGCCCGCTCCTTGTCACACATGCTGACAAATTCGCTCTCATTCTTGGCCGATATCAACAAGGCTCTCATACAGATTTGAGAAGCAGCTCGATATGCACGGTTAGTGACGGCGGCCTGGAATGGAGTGAAACCAGCAGCATTCCTGCAAATGAGAGATAACGTTAGAGATAGATAGAAAGATAGATAGAAAGATAGAGAGATAGATAGAGAGATAGATAGAGAGATAGATAGATAGATAGATAGAGACACACACACACACACACACACACACACACACACACACACACACACACACACACACACACACACACACACACACACACACACACACACACACACACACACACACACACACACACACACACACACACACACACACACACACACACACACACACACACACACACACACACACACACACACACACACACACACACACACACACACACACACACACACACACACACACACACACACACACACACACACACACACACACACACACACACACACACACACACACACACACACACACACACACACACACACACACACACACACACACACACACACACACACACACACACACACACACACACAGTTGCTTAGAAGGCCACATTTTACGTCCCATTCAAGTTACTTTCAAAGATTTCAATGGACACACCAGTGACACCACACACACTGCACAGTCACTCCACAGTGAATTGAGCAGAGTCAAATCTGGACAAGGAAGTAGCTCAGTGTACACACTGGGCACATGTAATTGCAACAGCAACAGCAAGAGCAGCAGCAGCAGCAACAGCAGCAACAGCAGCAGCAACAAGAGCAGCAACAGCAGCAGCAGCAACATCAACAGGAGCAGCAACAGGAGCAGCAGCAGCAGCAACAGCAACATCAACAGGAGCAGCAACAGGAGCAGCAGCAGCAGACCTAAGCAAAACACGAAACAAAGGATGAGTATGTATTCTGAGGCCTTCAATGCATGCATGGACCTGACAGGATGAGACTAGAGCTTTCCAGCACATGCCAAATACAGACAGACAGGCAGAGAGACGGGCAGGCACAGTGCTGGTAAGGGCGCGTTCAGACTACCGTGAACCCCGTCAAACCGTGAATGCCGATAAACCGTGAAGGACATTCACACTACCGATAACAAACTAACGTGACCGTGAAGTTTTCAGCTCTCACCGCGGCACTGACAAGGGATTTTCCCTTTTTTTCGCAGCGCGCATGCAGCCTGAGCACTTTTTTACTGCCGGTAAAAGTTTACTGCCGCATCAGCCGCGGCAGTAAAACTTTCCCACCGGTAACGTGCCAGTAACGTCACGTGATCAAATCACCTTGGCGACTTTCCCTATCGGTCACTTTTTATCGGTAGTCTGAACGCGCCCTAACATGGATTGGCAAACAGTAGCCACATCAGGGATCGATTTATCCGGGTTCGCATCACAGTTTGCGAATCAAAATTCACTGGCTGCGATTCGCTGTTCGTTTTTTATCGCCCAAAACTGCGATGCACTGGCTATATACCGATATGTACAAAGACCATTCCAACCAACTGGCCTGTCTTGCTCAGTCCGTGCGCGGGTCGCGGATCGCGCTCTGTTCGATTTTGGATATTGCACTAGTACTACTGGGTACACTGGTCGTACAAGACTGCACAACCTGCAGTCTTTTGAAGTTTTGTACACGGCGGCGACTTTCCTGGAAGTTCTCCTTTCTTCTTTCACGGTCAAGCTCAGTTCAGTTTGTTTCTGTTCGACAAGACACAGTTGAAGTACTAGTAGATGGTTCTTAGTCTCACGTAGCCAACATGTCAGTGAATCTGATCACTGTCCAGAAGCGGGAAAAAGAACTGGAAGCGCCAGGAGTGTCAATTCGTTTCGATGAAGAAAAGGAGAAAAGCGAAAATTCTGTGCGCTTTGAACGAAGTGTCACGGTCGTTTGAGCGCTTTCCTGAGCTTTCTTTGTCGAAGGAATCAGTGGAACTGCCCTGTTGAAGGACATTGTGTTGTGAAGAACTCGAAGTCGGATGGACGCTGAACATGTAACGAACCCAAGCAAAAACCCTAACGTAAAATATTCAGGTCAACCGTTTGCTTGGAAAAGCAAATAGCAACTGAAAGCTATTGTCCTCTTCTGTACAAAATCCTGCTACTGTACAGATATACATGTAAACGTTTGATGAAGGAAAACTGCTAATCAATACTGGGAGTTGCTAGTCAATTGTAAAACTGTGTAGCAGTGACTGCTATGCAAAAAAATCGAAGTAAATCGATCCCTGCACGTGTACTCACTTGTGTGAAAGTAGCGTCAGCAGATAAGGCTTGAGCAGATCATGGGCACACAGGACAATCAAACATTCAAACGCGTCGCCTGCAAGGTCTTCGCAACTCCTGGCTAAGTATGGCGACATGGTTTCTGGAACTGGTACCACAGCCTCCATAGCCACCGATGATTTGGCAAGTGCTGGCTGCGGCGTACTGGTCTGTGACGCAGATGTAGCTACACTGCAGGATGGTGTGAGTCTAGTTGGGTCATTCGGTGCCGTACCGGCATTGAATAGCTGGCCAGAATCCAGCATAGAGCGAACCGCTACTTCTGCCAATTGATGCACCCCTGTGTTATCTTCTCCGGGGCCCATTGCACTGGACGGCGCTGGGTTAAGACTGCCGACTTGCTGCTGCTGTGGCCAGAAGTTATCCACGCCTAGGCCTTGGAACTGTACCATTTCGTCCTGCTGCTGTTGCTGCTGCATTGGAGGAAGCTGTTGTGCATGCGGTTGCTGCTGAACTGGCTGCTGTGGCAACTGCACTGCTGCCACGTTTACTAATGATGGCGTCCCGGGAGCGCTAACGGTTACCTGGTCGGCAAGTGGCGGCACCTGTGGAGGAGCGTCATCCATGCTACTGCCAACACCGGGCGCACTGGCCGCTGTGGCAGCAGTTGATGACAGCTCTGACAAGGCCAGTGATGATGCCGGCGAATGACCGCCAGTACCTGCCGTAGTGTTGATACTGAAGTGAGACTGGGCATCATCATCCTCATCGCGCTCTGCTCGCTGCAGCGCTGCACGCACGATAACAAACGGAAACACACAGAAACGCAAACATGACACACACACACACACACAGGCACACAGACACGCAAACATGACACACACACACACACACACACGAACATGGCATACACACACACACACATGCACGCAGATGCATAGAAATGGCATGCAGCAGTACAACACCACTGCCCAGAGATGGCGAGATGGTGGCAGAGATGGCGAGATGGTGGCAGAGATGGCGAGATGGTGGCAGAGATGGCGAGATGGTGGCAGAGATGGCGAGATGGTGGCAAAGATGGCGATGGTGGCAGAGATGGCGAGATGGTGGCAGAGATGGCGAGATGGCGAGATGGTGGCAGAGATGGCGAGATGGTGGCAGAGATGGCGATGGTGGCAGAGATGGCGATGGTGGCAGAGATGGCGATGGTGGCAGAGATGGCGATGGTGGCAGAGATGGCGATGGTGGCAGAGATGGCGATGGTGGCAGAGATGGCGATGGTGGCAGAGATGGCGATGGTGGTTACAACGGCAGACTGAGAACTAGAAGAGGTGGGACAGAGTTCTAGTGAAACAGTTTAGTCTAACGTACCGAGGAACATCTGTACTCTACGTCCGGGGTCAGAGGTCAACTGACCGGAAAAGAATATGCTTAAAAAGTACTTTATATCTGATCAGCAGATGCAAAGAGAACAGCGTTTTACATCTGGAGTATTGCATACCAAAATTTCACTATCCACCTCTTCACTATGTTCCAACAAACATCCTGCTATCAACGAATACAGTAAGCCGTCCTCCTGAGAGAGAGAGAGAGAGAGAGAGAGAGAGAGAGAGAGAGAGAGAGAGAGAGAGAGAGAGAGAGAGAGAGAGAGAGAGAGAGAGAGAGAGAGAGAGAGAGAGAGAGAGAGAGAGAGAGAGAGAGGGGGGCACTAGCAATAGCCTATGTGTAGACAATTACCATCGATCTCCAACACTTACATTGAAGCGGAAAAGAACCGAGGGGAAGTTCCCCAGATGCCATAGGTGGAAATGAACCACCAGATGCTGGAGAAAGACAGGCGAAGAAACGAAGAGCAGTTAACAAAAATAATCTGTTGGTTGGCTTATGCTGCAACCTAGCAGTTCTGGACCAAGGCATCCCGTCGAGACGGCGCCTAGGTACTCTTATCCAGACGCCTCAGATACGGACACGGCTCTCTACCGGGCACCTTCAGCTTGAGTTCCTATGGCAAAATGCTTCGAATTTGGGGATTTTGAACCTTTTTCCGTATGCACAATTGCTTATTTTGTCACTGCCAACTTGTGTAATCCACACATTTTCATCAAGGGATTCTTTTTTTATCCTGAGCATGTGCAATACGTGCCAAATAAACTTCCTCAAAAACTGATATACTGTAAAAGCCATTATTCTAACGAGGCGCATATATAACGATTTCCCAAAATCGACTGGTTTACGTGTACCAAAGATAACGATTCTCACTTATTCTCAACGCTCAATAGGACAGTATATGTATCGATTTCTGTATAACGATTTCTATTTTAACGACAGATTTCTCCTCATTAACTCTTTAGAGTTAGCACTTCGTTATATATATATATGGCTTTTACAGTACAGTGTAGATGAGTTATCCCAAGGTGCCCGGATAAGAGACGTCTGAGTAAACATGCAAGTTAGAGCACTACAATTTTGTAGAGGGCTCATCAGTTGCGTAAAATCCTAGCTACTACTCTCCAGTGGGTCATATCTACAGTCCTGCTCACTGAAATCCAGTCGTGTCACTCAAGTTTGCGCCATGCACCATTTCGCAGCCCATTGTTCGCAGGTCTAGGGCTGCGCAACGCCCCGGCGCGTACTTGAGCGGGGCTGTGACTGGATTCCATTGAGCAGTACCGTACTTGTACTAGTACCGATGGTGCGGAGACTGTCGCAAACATAGCATGTCTAAAAGCCACATGATATCCATGCCTACTAACAAGTTGGTGATCATCTTTACTTGCACTCTCATTCGTAATATTTGCATTGGGAACAAAGCGTACATGCAGTGTGATAAAACAAGATGCAACAGTTGAAGTTCAGAGATACATTCAGCCAAGAACGCTACCTTACCAAGCAAGTTTTCTTCTGTCATTGAAGAAATATGCCACCAAATGCTGATCCAACGCTACTAGCGAGGGTAAGGTTTGCGGGTGCATCAGAAAAACTGGCAGCTCTAGCAGATTGCCACCAGCTGCAACACTACTTCTTGCAAAAATACCACCACCACTGGCGCTGGCCGAGGATGCTGATGAGGCAGCACCTGCCAACGGTGGGTGACTAAGTGGCTGCGTTGCACCTAAGAGTGTGCTGCTGCTGGCACCTGCCTGTTGCTGAGACGGCAAGCCGGGAAAGCCAGCCAGTGTAGAGGAGGCTGAGCTAGCACTTGCTGCTGTTGCTGGTGAGGAGCTTGATGCGGACACTGCGAAGTACAACAAATACACAATGAGAGAGAGAGGGAGTGTGTGAGAGAGGGAGAGTGTGTGTGTGTGTGTGTGAGAGAGGGAGAGTGTGTGTGTGTGTGTGAGAGAGGGAGAGTGTGTGTGTGTGTGTGTGTGTATGTGTGTGTGTGTGTGTGTGTGTGTGTGTGTGTGTGTGTGTGTGTGTGTGTGTGTGTGTGTGTGTGTGTGTGTGTGTGTGTGTGAGAGAGAGAGAGAGAGAGAGAGAGAGAGAGAGAGAGAGAGAGAGAGAGAGAGAGAGAGAGAGAGAGAGAGAGAGAGAGAGAGAGAGAGAGAGAGAGAGAGAGGAGAGAGTGTGTGTGTGTGCGTGTGTGTGTGTGAGGAGGAGGAGAGAGGAGAGAGGAGAGAAGAAAGAGAAGAGAAGAGAAGAGAGAAAAGGAAAGTAATTCGCACCAAAAAAAAATGGTGGGTAAAAAACCGTCTCGACTGCTTTTTAGGCAGTGACGGAGAAAGTAAAAGGAGAAAAGAAAACAAAAAGAAAAAGGAAGTGACTGCCACTGTGGGCCAATGCCTGGGTTTGAGCGAAAACGGTGAAGGCTAAAAAGCTCGCCAGTACTCAGCGTAGTGCAATATGGATGAGACTGTTGTCAGCATTCTTGATTTTTGACAGAGGAAAATGGGGCTTAATGTGTTGCTCAAGTTGTTGGTCTGCTTTTGCCCAGGCAAGGCTAGACCTTGGCAGGTACAGTTTGTTATTGGGCGGATCCTGATCCGGTTTATCATCACTTGCATGTAAAACTTGCTGGTAGCAATGCTCCATCTTCTCGGCTGTGACAATGTTGCCGTCAGCGCTGTGCTCAGGAGGCGGGCTGACTGGGTTGGCAACATCCGTGTTACCACTCCTATTGCTAGGGGTGAGCGGAATGTCAATTTCCTTACTTTGGTAAACCTTACAGGATTTAAGGTGACGTGCCATGTTAGATTTGAATGTGTTTTTCATGCAATGCGGACATGGCTTTTTATTAGGACAGTCTTTCAAACTGTGAAGAGAAGAGAGAGAAGAAAGAGAAGAGAAGAGAGAGAGTGTGAGAGAGAGAGAGAGAGAGAGAGAGAGAGAGAGAGAGAGAGAGAGAGAGAGAGAGAGAGAGAGAGAGAGAGAGAGAGAAGAGAGAGAGAGAAGAGAGAGAGAGAGGAGAAAAGTGAGAGGAGAAAAGTGAGAGGAGAAAAGTGAGAGGAGAAAAGTGAGAGGAGAAAAGAGAGAAGAAAAGAGAGAAGAGAGTTGGCCCATCTTCAGCGCAGCACACCTGTTAGGCTGTACAATAGCACTTAGAACTTACAACCAAAAGGAAGATGAACCCGCTGTGATGGAAGCTCACGACTCGATCCAGGATTTAAACTAAGACTGAGAAACACACACATGCAAAAAAGGAAAGCTAATAGTTGTTTCCAAAGCCATCATCAACAGTTATTTGCTCATTCATTCTTACATTAGTGTTAGGCATAAAAAGATACCAGACAGTAAGAGAGTTAGGGACACGTGTCAGGAAAATGACCCAAGCACATGTGCAGTCCATTAACCCTTTACCGGCAGCCCCATACTTGAATGCGTCGTAAACGACGCATTCGACATGCATACTAAAACCATGCCTGGTATGACAGGAAGCATCAGCCCACGGGGATTTCCCGTGGCCCTCACACAGCCTAGGTATGATCCTATCCGTAGCTGAAGAGATGCACGCGTGTCCCATTTGATTTCATTGAGAACTGCGCGATCGAAAATTTACGGAAATACACGCGCCGACAATGCCGTCTGGTCAGTTGCATTTCCTCTTGCGCAGTGAGTTCCTTTCGTCCTCAGATGACTTCTCCGACGAGGACCTAGCAGACCTTCGCTTTGGGACCCACGACAGATAGATAAATACTTCGTTCCAGCCGCCGATGCAAGCGAATTTCAAATTGCGGAGCGGAGCGTACGCCAAGTAAATTCTCACGCAAATATCGGAAGCTCCAGCCGCTGAAGACGATGTCGTCGTGATGTAACTGGAAGACTCTGATGGTGCTTATGGTGCGGAAGCCATGGAGAGTGATCCCTGTGTCGACAGTCTTCCAGAGACGGAATTTTAGGCCATCGACTTTCTACGTACCTGAGTGACGGCAGCGCTGCGCGACTTGCGCACGACCTTACGGAGCCATCGGACAGCGATTTTGGGGCGATGCTGCTCTCAATTGCGAGCGAGGCATGGCCACTGAAGTCTGTGATGGCTATGGCGTTCGTTTCCGTTCTGAAGTCGACTTTTTTTGGCAGTTTCATGTCAATGTCGGAATCTGACGATTTGCATTGTGTACAATTTCCGTGTTTAGACGTATAGGTGCCAATTTAGCAGCGTATGTGTGTGGTATGTGAAAATAATTTTTTCCATCGTCAAGAAGTAGTACCAGACTTCCAAGAAAACATAACTTGCACATACAAAATGTGACCTCGTTGTGAGTTATTGGCATCCTTCTCAATGTTATGGATTTCATATACAAAATGCACTTGCCGGTAAAGGGTTAAGTTGTTTTCGTTACACAGGCCCCATTGGATGACCCGTGCACCGAAATTTGCTAATTGCTAGTTTGCAGTGGTCTTTCCTGTTCTTTCTGTTGTCGAATTTCGCGCTGAAGGCTCTTCGTACGATAATTTCAATTTTCATTCACACCACGTTTCGTGTTTTTTGAAAACCGGCCTCCGAATTTTCGTACAGTTTTCTCAAAAGTCGCCTTGAGTACGTTCTCAGCAACGTAGCGGGGCAGTTTCAAATGAACGTACTGAGATTACAACACCTGCCCATTCAATAAGATGGATGTCACGGCAGCCTAAGCTGCAGGTCAGGGCCACTGTCCTTCAAGCAGATCCCTACGTTTTTGACTAACCTAAACAACAAGTGATAAAACATTCTGGTCTTAGCCTGAACACTTGTAATGTCACACACAGTCACTTCCCAACAACTAAATTGAATAAGCCCCCCTCCCCCAGGTGAATTAGAAGCGTGCTTTAAGGGGACACCCGTCTTTATCAATAATTTTCACGGAAGGAAAACATTTAGTTTAGGACCCATCCCCTCAACGAAAAATAGCATGGACTTTACTGCTAGAATGGATTGATGTTTCAGCTATCAATATTCTCAAAACGAAACTGTCCTCAACCCACCCACCCATAAATGAAACTTTTTCGTATATAAGATCGGCAACTATGGACTTTTACCCCGGAAATTACTGGAGTTCAATAGCAACATAGATGGCAAAATGAAAATCTCTCGAGCAGTACCTGCCAGACGAGGGAAATGAGGAGGCCAGGGTGGGTGCTGCCATGGAGGAGGCAGCAGTCTTGCTTTGTGCGTGTGGAGACTGGCCGCCCGCACTAGCCAAGGGAGTTGTCCTGAGCGGCTTGGCTACACAGCAAAGACACAACGTACACATCACAGCGGTCGTCAAAAAGCAAACCTAGGACGACTACACCCTAGTCAAGAGATTAGAGCACCCCTGACATATAGCCACACTCCATTGTGATGACGGTCACTTCTTCACACTCACTGTATCCATCCACCTCCGTCAAACTTAAGAACTTCAAAACATGACAAAAAACAGTTCAATACTAGGTTCAGTTACATGTATTACAGCGCTGGCCAGAGAAATACGACCAATGGCACACTTTCTGTGCCCGCAGTAAGCAGTCCCTGACCCCATCCAGTGAAACCCAGCTCAGGGCACACATTCCTGTGCAATTCGTCGCACAGTTTAAGTGAGCGGTCAGATTTCAGGAGCCAGCATTGTAGCATCGCAGCTAGCGACACAGAAAAGAACCATTCGCATCCCTACATTTTGCCTGTGCTGCCAGCGCGGCTGCACGCAGGCGAATTGTCTGTTCGCGGCGCAGGCGCATCTGTCGAGCCTGAATCCTCTCGGACTGGGGTTGGCACAGATCGGCGAGAACGTGGAACAGGTTGCGATTCCCGTCGCAAACTTCACCCAAGTGAAGCAGGAACTGTGCGAGCAGCTCTGAGGAAAAAAACACACACACACACAAAACAAAAGACAGAAAACAAGCAGAGAAGCAATGGCATTGGCGGTTCTCTACGTCACCAGTACAGCAAATCTGTCTTCAGCAAACAAACACCCCAGCAAACACCCCAGCAAACACCCCAGCAAACACCCCAGCAAACACCCCAGCAAACACCCCAGCAAACACCCCAGCAAACACCCCAGCAAACACCCCAGCAAACACTCCAGCAAACACCCCAGCAAACACTCCAGCAAACACTCCAGCAAACACCCCAGCAAACACTCCAGAATGAAACAGGTAACTACATGTACAGACAGGCAATCTTCACAGACATGGTCAAATGTTTATTTAGGCAATCTTCACAGACATGGTCAAATGTTTATTTAGGCAATCTTCACAGACATGGTCAAATGTTTATTTAGGCAATCTCCACAGACATGGTCAAATGTTTATTTAGGCAATCTTCACAGACATGGTCAAATGTTTATTTAGACAATCTTCACAGACATGGTCAAATGTTTATTTAGGAGTCAACGTGGACCCTGGAGTAGCACATATCAAGACAGTGCTCGTCTGTGACGGATGCTGTAGCTAGAGAAACATCCTGTAGGTCTGCAGGACACATTCACAGTTCACACTATGCAGCGCACAGCGCACAGCTAACAGTTTGTTCTTCGCCCCTTACCGGATTTATTGCCGTAAACTCGGTCCAAGTATGCCTTCAAAGCCTTCGCATCGCACTTCAACACGCGCCTCAGCAACGGATTTTCCTAC